TTTGTTACAAGTCAGATCTTCTTCAACTTTATGACTTTCATCCTGTAACGATGCACCCACCGATTTTGGACTTCATTTAAAATTATAAATATTTTAAAAATAAGTCGGTATAGTGTCACTTTTTCCGTTCAAAGAGTAGAGATCCAGCGTTTTACAATTGTTTCAGTTCTATCACAGCTGTATTCTGAAGTAGTTAGCAAATTTTGGTTGCTAATTAGAGAATTACAGATGGGTCGTTTGAGATGTCCCCGACTGTATGGGCACTTGATGACGGTAATAAAGTGGTGATGGACACAATTAAAGAACATTTAGAAATGCTGCAGCAGAAATTCAATAGGTATTGTGACATGTTGACCCCTACCGTCCCAGCTCCACGTAGCGGTAACTTAGCGCGCGTAATAGGCGAGTAATCACCCCGCAATGCGCAACGCGCGGTGACGTCACGAGCGGAGCCGAAGAGAGCTGAGCGGAGCCGAAGATAGCCGAGCCCCCGCAACCTGGTCGCTAGGCAACGCAAGTCAACGCGGTGACGTAACGCGCAACGCTACGTAACCGTAATCAACTTCCTACTGTGACGTGGCACTCATTACGCAACCGGCAAGTACTGCAGCTATACAAGTGAGCTGCACAGCTGGTACGAGTCAGTTCTAATGTGGCTACCAGCGAGTTCTACTGTAGCAGTCGAGCAAGTGTGTTATCAACAGTTCTTCAGTCAGCGGACTACAGTTGGAGTATAGCAGCCGTCGCGGAAAGAAGATCCGGACGTGTGTGTGATTGTGTAATTGGGAGCGTGTGATACAGTGATACCTAGCTCCCCGACTGTAATCGTGTAGCCTACTGAAGGCAGACTGAACTGATTTGCGCATAGGGTTATAAATCGTGAAACCCCGCAACAGTGTTAACAGATTAATGCGATTAGGGTTATAAAGTGTGAAACCCCGCAACTGTGAGATAAGTAATTGTAGCCGTTATTTGTAGATTGTTAAATAAACCAATTAACCATCTCTACGGCATCTTCAGTAACGCAAACACATTACAATATCTTTCATTCTGCTTATATTTGAACTTACAATAGGAGAATCTTCACCAGTAAGTCCTTTAATTTGTAGCATCTCAGCTGTTTTGAGGAAAGTTGCCAGTTCTTCTTGTCGTACATTCACTTCTCCACGATACATAAACTGCAGGATAGCAACCAAATCTTTGTGGCACACATCTTTCAGAATTACAATGGGATGCTTACAGGGATTAACCTACAACAGAAACAATGTTTTCACAGAAACTAACAATGAAAGGGAAGGAAGTAAGTCAAATTCTGTCATCAGTGTTTTCCATTAACCTGCCCCGTGGTGACTGGATATGTGTATTTTTGGAGCTTCATTTACAACTCTGTGTAAACGTATTAAGATTAAGAAGCACTAACAAAAACCTGTGTACTTCATCTGATCCTGAGCTATCAGTATGGAATGTAATTTATTTCAACATACCTTAAACAGATCTTTGAAGTATGGACTGCAGACTGAGAGCACTATTTTGTGAGCCTGAACAAACTGGCCACCTGCAGCTAACGTAACATCCACAAGATCCTCTCCTTGTAATAATGCATGGAAGCCAGACGTAAGATTACTATGGAAATTGTTCCACCGCAAGGAGAACTGATCACTCTCTCCTTCAGACATCCTCAATCTGAAGAAAAAAAAATACTATAAAATAACTAACATTAAGACAATATTAAACAGACCTGATACTCTTGTCAGAGTTGAAGACACCTCTGATGCCAGGTAGCCATGACATCTAGGATTTTATAGCTTGTTGACAAATGTACCAAACATTTTAAAATGCATGACTTGTAGTTCTGATTATCATGTAGACAACAGCTTCACTCATTGGCAAAACCAGAGACCTCTCTGTTGAAAGAAAGTCATCAGTCATTGTGGCTGGAATAACCACTGATCAGAAGTCAGTTAATTCACATGGCTTCCTTTGTGACTGCTTACTGTACACATCTTGCCCTAAACACATGTTAAATTATGTGCAAGAACCTCACCTCAGTCTTCAACACGAAGTCAAAGCCTTCTGAATTTTATCAGATATCATATGCCAATAAAAAGTCCTGCAGACATTTATCTAAGACAGTTTCTTACAGTGCGAAGTGTGAAATTTCTGTGACAGCAATGCATATAAGGGATTACTATGTTTTGGACTTTGTCAATCATCCAGTATTGTAAAGAAAACGATGTTTCAGAAACTGCATCTGTTACCATCCTCAGGTGAAAGAGTGGGAGGCACTTACTCTAGTCAGTTAATTAGAAAGTGCTAACTTCACTCACAAAATCATCATTTGATAGTATGTATAACTAGAAAGGCATGCAGAATAATGAATAGAAAATTAACAACACTAAACCATATATAGCAAATAAAAATATATCCCTCTGAATTCTCAACTGGAGTTACACTATTAGCAATTTAAAAGCATAAGGTCTCTCCATGAAATAGCATTCTTCTATCCTCCTGTAACTCTTAGATCCATATGAGTATATCCTCCTCAACACTTAATTCTCCCAGACCCTCAAGTCATGTTCTTCTGTTAGAGTCAGGGGTAACATTTCACATCCATATAAAACAAGCAATACTATAGTTTTATATATCTTAATCTTTGCTTAGGGCACAGATATATGCAAGATTTCAAACTGAATAGTAGCAAACTACTCCCGAATTGTAAGATTTGAGGCTTTCACGGCGGTGACTATGAAGAAAGCAGTCTTCTGGGATTTGGCACCGTGTATATGTGGTGTTAACTGACGTTTCGGAGGAACGTATCGCCTCCATCTTCAGGGTAGAAGAAAAAATATAAGAAATCTGCAAGTGAACAGACCGTGAGAGCAGACACAGTTTGCTTTTACCGGTTCTCATGGTCTCTTCGCTTGCAGATTTCTTATATTTTTTCTTCTACCCTGAAGATGGAGGCGATACGTTCCTCCGAAACGTCGGTTAACACCACATATACACGGTGCCAAATCCCAGAAGACTGCTTTCTTCATGCTCCCGAATTATTTCTCCTCCTCATCCTACTACTGCTGCTGCTATTACTACATATATTTAGACCTCTCCTGTCCTGGTCTGACATTTCCTTCCATCCTTTTCCTGAGGCTGCCAATCCATCTGTACCCCTCTGGATGGTATTTCGTTGTTTACTTTGGTATTCTTCCATCCTACACTTCCTATGTATAAGTTCCAGTTTTATTTGCAGTTTATCATTTTCTGTATTACTAACTCTAGCCTTGGCCATGCCATAGCTCAAGCGGTCAGTCGCTGACTTCCCACCGCAGCGGCCCAGGTTCAATACTGGGTCTGGTCAAGTGGAATTTGTGGTGGACAAAGTGGCGCTGTGGCAGGTTTTCTCCGAGTACTTTGGTTTCCCCTGCCAATCTTCATTCCACCAACTGCTCCACAATTACCCTCACCTATCATCTGGGGCTGGTACAATAGGCCAGAAGTGGCCGCAGTACAAGGGACTTAGCCCCACCCCACTAGCAATAAAAAAAATCTGGCCTTAATTCCTTTCTAATGCTGAATTTAATCTGTTCCTAATTTCACAATAAGCATGATTTCTTAAGCTTCGGCATCCTCCAGCAAATTACTTTTATTAGAAAGAGCTGCTGTGTTTTACACTGAGGGCAGGCAACCAGTACCAAGAAACTCTTTATGATAAAAAAAAAAAGCAGTTCGTTTAATGACAGGATATTGTTATAGGCATTCATGTAGAAATCTTTTCAGGCAGCTTGGAATTTTACGGTTGAAGTCGCAATATATTTATTCAGTTTTGCTCTTTGTATCAAAGAACAGAAAACTTTTCACTACTAATCATGATACACATAACCTCCAGACAAGGCATAGTAGTAATTTATATCTCCCAACTTCCACCTTAACACTGTACCAAAAAGGCGTTTACTTTACAGGTATAAAGTTATTTAATAATCTGCCTCTTGAAATAAAGGGGATTGTTAGGATACACAAGCAATTTAAGAAGATACTTGATTACCCATTGTTTTTATGACTTGGAGAAGTATTATAGTGTTAATGAATGATGTTGTAAACTAATGGTTTTATATGAATAGTATGTTAGTTACTTTATATTGAATTATATGAGTCTATCTGTATAATAGTTTTATTGTATTTATGATAATATTTATTGTCTTTTGTATCATTTATTTTATTGCTTTATAATTCTGACATGTTCTAATTATTTACTTGAGCTCAACTTATACCTGAACTGTACTTTTACATTCTTCTGCTTAGCCTGACATATTTTAATTAATATTTGACATATTCTATATCCTATGATTTGTAATCAGTTTTATTGGATCATCTGGAACTTGAAATAAATTACAATTACAATTACAAATACTAATTGGTTCTGTAGTTTCACTTTGGGCCTTTACATGCAAAGGGGCAACTTTGTTCTCTGTCTGTTATTTGAGCATGGGCACAATGTCACCATCAGTTAGTAACACAGACTGTTATGCTGTCATTATAAAGTTATTATGTTTATTCCCAAAGTTTTTCTTGTATCCACATGCTGGTGCAAAATTAATGGATAATGGTGCAAAGTGATTCTGAAATCTGTACATATGTAGAGTATTACAAGATTATATTAATATTTTACCTTTATGGGGAAGTACCCCATTATTTTAGTTCAGAAATATTATTAATGGATAATGGTGCAAAAGGATTCTGAAATCTGTACATATATATAGTATTACAAGATTATATTAATATACGTAGGTCAGTCAAAAAGTTCCTGGAATTCCCCTGCAGACGGAGAACGAGCGATAAGATAGCACACACACTGTTGTGGTGGGGAGCTAGGCATGTCTGCTCACAGGCGCTACAGGTCTGGACAGGTTTCAGTGTACACTGTCTTCACTGTTCCGTTTGAATTAGATGTGTTGGTCATTCGGCACAATGTCGGAGTTTGAACAGCGTGCGAACATCAAGTTCATCTGCAAATTGGGAAAATCTACTTCAGAGACACAATTGGCCCTGCAACTAGTTTATGGGGATACTGCACTAAAGAAATCCGCAGTTTACGACTGGTTTTCCCGGTTTAAGAAAGGGCAGGAGACGTTAGAGGATGACCAGTGCATCGGGAGACCTTCGACATCCAGAACCGAAGAAATTATTGGAAAAGTGCGACAACTGATTCAGTGTGATCGAAGAATGACCATCACGGAGTTGGAGCAAGAAGTTGGTATCTCTCACAGATCCATTCATGCCATTTTGTCCGATGATTCGAAGATGACACGTTTCAGTGCAAAGTTTGTTCCGAGGCAGCTGACCATGGATCAGATGGAATGTTGCATGATGTCCCTGGTGATCTGTTTGACAAAAGTACGCAGGATCCGATGTTTCTCAAAAAGATCGTCACTGGTGTCATTGGTGTTCGCCTACGACCCAGAGACGAAGATGCAGTCATCGGAGTGGCACACGGCCGGCCAAAAAGATCACGCCTCGTCAGATCCAAAGACAAAGTGATGCTCATTGCATTCTTTGACATCGACGGTTTGGTGCACCATGAGTTTGTACTGCCTGGACAGACTGTTACTGGCCATTTGTATGTGCAAGTTTGGCAGAAGTTGCGCGATGCGGTTCGGAGGAAGCGGCGTGACAAGTGGCAGGGACAGTGGTTTCTGCATCACAATAACGCACCGAGCCACACATCACTTGTTGTGCAGCAATTCCTCACGGAGAAAAACATTCCTGACATCAATCAACCACCTAACTCTCCGGATCTCGCTCCGAGTGACTTTTGGCTGTTCCCTACTCTGAAAATGGGCCTCAAGAGGCATGTTTTGCAACCATGAAGGACATCAAATAGAGAGCGATGGCTGACCTCCAAAAGATTCCAAAAGAAGCCTTCCACCACTGCTTCCAACAATGGCAGGATCGATGGAGCAAGTGTGTGTGTGTGTGTGTGTGTGTGCGCGCGCGCGCAAGGGTCCTACTTTGAAGGTGATTAGGTAAGCATTGCCGTATTTCCTACCATTAGAATTCTATACCACCATTCTGGGAACTTTTTGACTGCCCCTCATATTATCTTTATGGGGAAGTACCCTATTATTTTAGTTCAGAAATAATATTTTTCTAATATATTTAATTCTGTTTTGCAGTACAAATCCATTCTCACTTATTTCCAAACTTCTGCTGACCAAAGGTAAATACACAAATTTCTGCATGCCTATAAATTCTACCACAAAGCTCTTTCTCCAGACAACAATTCAGTAAGGGTTCCTTTATTTACCAACAACTTCAGATAACACATCAACTGTAAATGTCCTCCTAGGTATGAGCTTCTTTTGTGCACATTAGTAATGGCATTTATTTAGCAACTGCAAGAGCCCTTTTGAATTGCTCAAAGTTATACTGCATACATTCATTCATCAGTAATCTGTCAAGACGACAGGTCCACAGTCTCCTCCAAAACAGTTCCTCCACTTAATGCAATCTAGAGCTTTCTCCTTCAAATGAGAATATCCTATTCTGTCCCCAAGGTCATCCAGCATCTTCTTACATCTTCTACCTCGTCTTCTGGTCACTTCTATCTGCCCCTCTAGCTTTCCTTCAATAACTTCTTTTAGAAGGCAGTTACTGCATACGATATGACCAATCCAATTAGCCTTCCATTTTCTTATTTCGTGTATGATATTCCTCTGCTCACTGACTCTAAATAACACTTCTTCATTTCTCACATAATCAGTCCAACTGATCTTCTCCATCACCACATTTCGAAGACTGCATACAATTCATCAAAAAATCTGGTATATCTCACTCGTCTGTCAGTCATATATATATACACATACTACCACAGTCAGTAAGTCCGTGGAATGGCTGCAAAAGGTTGTAGAGGAATTTACTGCCAATATGTTTCAGCAATGTTTTCGACAGCTATATTAACATTGGCAGACGTGCATAGCGGCCAACGACAACTATTTTGAAAGCCAATGTGGATCTCAGTAAGTGTATGTGAATACCTTGTATTATGATATGATGCGATAAAACCACATTCCACGAACTTAATGACTCTACCATGTATATATGAATATATTACACAAGGATCAATTTAAATATGTGATCTGTAACGATTTTTACATGTTCACTAACACAAAACAAAATAAAAATTGGAAATTCAGGATTGAGTCTGGGATCTCCGCATTATGAATCTGGAAACTTAGCCCTTGGATACCAAACCTCAGTACCTACATGGCAAGTGTCATGTAGCCATACAAAAGGGAAAACTTTTGAAGTATATATTTGAGAAAAAAGGATCTACTGGACAAATGGGGAAGACATGTGTCTTATTATTTCCCATCTAATTTCCAAACAAACAATTCCACACCAACCTAGAGCACATACACATCAGTCACAAACACCACAATGACGTGTTATTTAGAAAACTTTCCTCATTCTGGTGCTGGCATTACCCACATTAAATGATAAATATTAAAACCTAAAAATTATAAGCTCAACGCTACAAATGAGTCAAAATATTGTGGAAAATAGCATAAAGTACATAATTTACTTTGAAATAGAAAATATATTTTGAGCAGCATCAGAGCACCATGGATTTTTTCTTCTAGCAGAAACTCCACTTATATGAAGTCATAGCAGACAATGCTCTGTTAGTGTCAAATAACAGGCGAATGTGTTTTAATTGCAAGTGGGAAAATTAGAGCATTCGCACAAACCATACATTTTTCAAATTCAGTGCAATGAAAGCACTGTTGAGATTCAATGCTGTCAGCTGCTCATGTATTCTCAATTTCGGGATAATGAAGCCATAAAAGAAGAAGAAAAAATTTTCTCAAAAGCACTGAGACCATGTCTAAGGCTTCCAATATTATGACAAATTTTGTCCTAACAGTGGTCTTCCATAGGATAAGCTAGTTGGCGGTTACACTGATGATGCACCAGTGATGCATGGCTGAGTTCATCACACTTGTCAAATTAAGAATCCAGACATAATTGGGCCTCACTGCATCATCCAAGCTTGCATTACTAAGTCCCTTGCAGATGAGACATGTACTTAGCTGAATTTTTAAATTTAAGTTGTCAGTTCAGTGAAAAGGAGTTCTTAAATACAGGGGTTTGTAGCTCTTTACACAGATTATGGAAGTGATCATTAAGCTCTTCCTTCATAGATATCCAATGCTGTCAAAAGGAAATATGCTGAGCCTACTATACAAATTCCAGTAAGAAATAAAAAATTTCTACAAGGTCATAAAATATAAAAACGTTACAGCTTTGACTGATGTACCTTGTGGATATTTTACAGGCTATCAGCAACTTAAATTTGAAACTGCAAAGAAGAAATGCAAACATTGTGGCCTATGAAGATGCAATCAGGGATTTCCTTAACAAACTTCAGCTATGTAAGTGCCAATGTCAAGCTGGAAACTTTTCATCATTCCCGCTTCTGAAAGAATGATGTTGATCAGCATTAAACTCATCAGAAGACAACAACTGTGTCTCATCCAGACTGCCTGGCTGAGGAAACATGCTGAACACTTGGAAATCCATCAAAATGTCGTCAAATATTTTCAAGATCACTATACATTATACTACATACATGAGAATGTAAAACAAAGGTTACAATGTTCCACAGTTTTGTAAGTTCTAGTGCCACACAACATTTTGGGATCCTACTAACACTCATACCACCTAAAAAGTTCATGAGAAATTTATCATTCTTCTGAAAAGAGTGGTCATATTTTGGTATCACTGAAAGAAAAAAAAAATTGATATACTAATGTATGTTAGAAGTGACCCGAGCCGAGTTTCACTCTGACCCATTACACTATTTTAGCCAAAAGTTTTATAATATTACTGTACATGTTGCTCCTTTTTTTTATACAACTGGCAGTTTTTTTACAGATCTGTGATTACTTAAGAGCATGTGTCTTCACAGATGTTCTGTAATGTTCTGATAAACATAAAAATCCCTCTTATGAAAGGGGAAAATGAAAAGGATATGTGTAATTCCTAATGCATGAGGAAATCACTAAGAAAACTCATATGATTTGTAGTTCATGGTTACATAATGTTCAGAGTGAAAGATCAATTATCCTAATTCTCAAACTATAATGAACATGAAGTGCAAGCCCAGGATTACAATTACAAATTCATTCCTGCAATCTGCAGTTTTCACATATTTAGAAGCCTGCATGTAATGTCTTGATGCAACACGTTACTAACTAAACATTCAACAAGTCAGAAAATATTTCAGAAAACATATTCTGTATAACGTACATTTCGGAATACAGGAGATGACATAACCGATCTGCCAACCCCAGCTTGATTTAATTTAGTAGCATGTTCTGATCCATGTAAATTAACATGTTCGGTTAGGTTTACTTGTAACATACAGCAAATGGATGAGAGGTACATAGGCTATTTCTTCCCACCCAGAAGGAGTTTTAGACCAAATCTCGAATGAAAAAGACAAAAGAAAAAAAGACTGGTCAACGCAGATGCGAAGTGAAAGAGGAAGACCCCCCCACAGCTTGGCTCTTTAGAAAGTCACACAAAATTTTACTTGTCTGAGTCCTTTGAGAACACAATATGTGACAGTTTTGAACACCATAACTTAAACGATGGGTGGTCTCTCAGCCCAAGCCAAGGGTAACATTTGTCAAACCACTGACAGGATTTACGTTAAGTTTTAGTGCCTACATTCCCTGTAATACCTAAACGGATTGGGGGAGTACTTAATTAGTGTACTCCCTTTTTGAAAATGACCAATCCTCATAATTTAGGGAGTTGACTTGTGGACCGAGAAGACTCCAAGAGTTTCGAGGAGAAGGCATTCTGCAAAAAGTCGTATTCCAGATCGCAAACTATTTGGACGCAAATTCAATCTAGTGTGTTAGTGGCGTCCACTATTGACAACAGTTTAATAAAGTGTCTTGTGGAACAAAGTGTGTGTGTGTCATAACAGGAGTTCCCACTTCCCTTCCTGAGCAAGTCCCTGCCAAACGGCCTGAGAACTGAATCTTAGTTCTACTGGAGGACTAGCTACGCACGACCGCTACCCCCTTATCAATCCTTCACAGCTTTCAAAAATCTGTAAACTGATAGTAGCAGTTTACTGGCGCCCAAACTAAACCCACTGCCCTAAAGATCAGAGGTGTGTAAGTATGGTAAGTGAAGCAGGGTAAAGCCAGCTGTACCCGCTGCTGCCCGTAGCAGTCCAGCAGCCAGCGGCCGAAGATGACAGTAAAGTAAGTGGACACAACGAGCGAGCCGTTATGACAACCAACGTGTGCGGCTAGAAGTCTCACTGAGTGGGTCGGTTAGAATGACTTGCAACAGTTTCATAAAGTTTTGTTATTAAACATTTGTAACTGTATCTATCTCCACTTTTATTACTCAAAATGTTTTTTCTCAAAATCTGCTTTGACCTACAGGACATCTGTATCCACAATATGCCAATCCACACAGTAATGCTGGATGCTTCAAAATTGAATCTGATTTGGATATTTAAGCTACATGATTAGTTTAACATGAACACGTCCTTTCTCTTAAACTGTACAAACTAAACCACACAAAGGTAAAGGTATCCCTGTAACAGGCCATGGTGACCCATAGGGTTGTGAGATGTTGAAGCTCCTGCATTTTCTGGATAATTGGCTCACAGATGGTGGTGAAGTTGTCAGCTGTACACATTGGCCACCCTTTATTATCAGGAAGATTCCTGGTACTCATTTCTGCTAGAGGCTGAACAGACCCCAGGGCAATAGTGGGGCTGGAAGAATTAGGTCAACAGCCAGATGTTCAAATTGATTGGACCCTTTTAATGAATAGTCATCTTAAAAACCACATAACAAACATGAACCATAAAAACCTGTGTACAAAGCGCTCAGAAAAGAGTTAATGTAAAGTTATCCTTGTGCTTCATTAATTACCATCCCAGGAATGTATGTGTGTGAGTGAATGTACAGTTCTGCCATTCATGACCTCAGCACTAGATGGAGGTGAGTAGTCAGCTTCATGCCCCAGACACATTACCCCTAGTGAAAGAGACCCTGGTACCCATTGGATAGAAGGCTGGGTGGGCCCAAAAGAAAATGAAACATTAGACTTGGAAATTCTAATTGGTTCTGCTGACGCATGACATGCTTCTCTGATACTGGCCAATTTTACAGACAGAGCAAACTCTGTGCATAAACACCATTCAGACTACGGTTACAATTTGGTAGCACACTCAAAAGAAACAAAATAAGACCTGAAATAAAATAAATACAGGGCGGAAACTTGTAATAAAGTGAATTACATACTACTACAAAAGTGTACAGCTGGTTGATTTTTCACATTTGCAGCACGACTGAATACGGAGCTTCTAAGCTATTGTGGAGAGCTAATCGTTAAATTATCATAGAAGATGGGTGTGTCATATTCCATTCACGGTTCTGTTCAACATACTACTGGAAGAACTGATGAAAACAACTTGTCATATTCGAACCACTGATCGACCCAAGATTATCCCGAAAACTTATCTACCGTCAACCTACTGTAACTCGCGTCTACAGTCTTACACTAAAGGAAACATATGTACTATCTAGCCACATAATCTGGTTACAGTTTATAATCATTTTACCTGAAATTATCAGTCCTACAGATGGCTAAAACTTTATAAAACACCACCAAAGAACACACAATTTCGTTAAAAGCACTATAGTGTTTCGAAACGAAAGGAAATATCGACCATAACCAACTCAGCTTCGACGCACCAAAATGGCATTTCTAACTAATTTTGTTGCAGGTGACGCGGAACATGGAACAAATGCGAACATACAAGCGATACAAGGCATACAAGCTATGCAATCAGTGTCGCCAATTATTGTTAGAATTTCCAGTTCTTGTTCAACGACGAACACCAGAGTGCAGGACACTCGCGTGTTCTCCCTTCGTTATGAAACAAATCCCGGAAGATTCTAACCTGCGTTCGAAAGATCATAACCAGAATTCTTATTTATATCGCTCAGTTCTTCGTTAGCATACGGGGGCAACATTTTCTCACGGTTCACAATTTGTGGGATAACTTAATCGATATTCTGCCTCCCTGAAGAAAAGTAATAAATACGTCACTACATCAGTCAGTAGTCAGTATCAGTCAGTATCTGTAGTCGATACCGAGCATACCGAGGATCAGTGACGTACTCAGAAATAAATAGTTGAATTGTGGTAGCATATTTCATACGCTGTTACGTGCTGAATGTTTTTGATTCTGAGTAGCTCTTCACGTGGTTCTCGTGTGCGATTTTTTAGAATTTAGCTAGATAAGTCTATAAATGTCTCTGGTTTTCACAGCTACTTGTTCTTCGGTTGGCCTTCAACGATTCCAACACAGGGAAGTACTTTTGAGAAAAGTATCGTTAGTAGAGAAGACTAGAGGTGAATACATATTTGAAGGTTTTTATGCTAGCCTACTGGAAGTGGACACTCCCATTCATAAAGTTCATAAACTTATGTTAGTGGCAACAGATGGCGCTCCGGCCACGACTAATGAAAAGGCTGACTTAATTGAGCTTTGCAAAAAGAAAAAAAATGCTGTTTTCGAAAGCATTTAGTTCTCACTTTGTCATTCATCGGGAAGCTCTATGGAAAGAAGTGATCGATTTTCAACATGTGATGAGTCAGATGAGTGCTGTGCAAAAATTTAAATTCGTCCCGTGCTAGGGCCCTTCAACAAAGACTATTTAGACAACTATCAGGCGAAATTCATTTCCATTGTTGACATTACACACTGATATCCGTTGGCTGAGAACAGGAGTTTTTTTCACCTTCAAGAACTTCTTCCAGAAACTGTGGAGTTTCTTCAGGACAGAGATGACTTACCTCCACAAATAAAAGCTTCTCTGTGTTGCTAGTACTTGATTTCCTCACAGATCTTACCGATAAAGCAAATTACTTGAATTTCGAGGAACAAGTTGAAAAAAGACCGTCGTTAACACAATTGACACCAGTTACTGCTTCAGAGGAGAAATGAACTTGTGGAAAACTCAAATGATGAAACCTGTACTAACCCACTTCCCAGGCGTTCAAAGTCGCGCTGACGGTACATTTGATGCGCCTGTATGCATCCTGTGTACTGGCCTTTGCGACTACGTGACTACTTCGAGAATAATTTGTAGGATTTGAGCGCGATTTGTTCCAGGACTAGACTTTTATTTTTAAATTCGCTTAGTGGGGTGTGGAGTCCTACTGGGTCCACTCGGCACGGCGGCCACTGATTGGCCTATTGTAGCCTGCCCCGGGTGATTATGATGATGGAGAAATTGGTGGAATGAAGATTGGCAGGGGAAACCGAAGTACTCGGAGAAAACCCACCCCAACGCCACTTTGTCCACCACAAATCCCACTTGGCCAGACCCGGGATCGAACCCGGGCCGCCGCGGTTGGAAGCCAGCGACTGACTGCTTGAGCTATGGCGTGACCTAGAACTAGACTTAACTGAACTCCAACACCAGGAAATCAGATGCTCCTACTGCACGTTTAGTAATTCGCGCACTTTTCGTACGTTGTCCACCAATACATGCTACATGTTTAGCTCTATGTAATCCGCGAGGGTTGGTGGCCTGTGTTACCTATTTATCGATGGCGGTCGATGGGCGTCGATGGGGTCGATGGGAATAGCATTGAGGGCATTGAGTTTGTGTACTTGGCGGAGGAGCGCAGCGGTGCCAGAATGTCACGTGATAATAATTCGGAACTTTTAAACTCAATATTTAAAGGAGAGGTGTAATACAAAATACCCCATACTTTGTGCTCATAATATAACACATACAGTAATAAATTTCCCAAGTTGTGTCATAAGCAACACAAAATCTTAAATCGTTTCATGTCGTGTAACTTCACACTACATATCAGTTAACAATTTCCAGCAGCTTTTATTACGGTTTCGTCAGTATAGTATTGAGACGCGTTTCGGTCTTAGTGGATCATCTTTTGAGACTCTGTAATGCTGTAACATTTAGGCCTGTTTACAGTAGGCTGAGTGGTAATTTTCACCTGAAATACAGTTTCTAAAATAGCATGATAACAAACCCGTAATGCATATGATCTCAATTTAGAATTACAATAAATTGATATAAGCATTGTTCATTTGTGAGAAGAGTGTTTTAGAAATTTTAATTATGTTCAAAATTGAAGAGTATGGTGATCTGGGTTATGCTGTGTAGTTACAGGAGAGCGGAACAATTTGGAGCAATGTACCACCTCCAGCTTCAGAGCTGAAGAGTACGTACGTACATACATATACATTTATTTCCATGGATCCATACAGAGTATAAGGATGTGGAAATTGTCATAACCAAGTATGCCAAGGAAACCTTGCAGAATCAGGTGACATTTCATGGAGGTGGTATATTCTTCCAGAACATCAGGCTAGCCCTGAACAAAATGGCTTTGCAACACAGAAGACCACACTGTTCATTGTCACTGCCATAAGAACCTCAGATCCAACAACATGAAAATTACTGCTCTGACAAACTGCAAAGTGACATAAATGTTACAGTATTTTGAGACACTGAAGATAGTCTATTAGGACCAGAATTATCAGGGACATTCTGATGAACATGTAATAAGGAAAGTTGAAAATGTGACTTATTTTACATCTACATGCAGGTAGCATCTGTACACAGTTATGGAGCTTTTGTTCGGATCCCTGGAAATAAAAACCAAGGGCTTGTTCATCGTACACAAGTGTCAAAAGTGGCTGTTGATGATGTGTCTGAAGTTTTGCAGCGAGGGGAGAAGGTTTGGTGTAAGGTTATCAGCATTACGGCAAGTATGAATTGTCATTCTCTTGCCCCTATTATAATTTCTGGGATAACATGAATGGTTTAATACCAAAAGTTGTGGCTCCACATACCTTCAGTGCATCCATGACTCTTGCTCAACTTTTTTATCATTGTTTAGTTCACCACTAAATAACAGGGGCACATTTCATACTGACACAACTTGACTTGTAACTTGTCAGTGGTTAAGTGATTTTGCCCTCAGATCTAAAATGTACACTGATAAGACACTTTTTAAATTTCACTAAAAACTGTTATTCGGACATTATATAACCTTCCCTTGTATTAATCTGCACCCATATGTTAGTTGGAATGATACTGAATGCAACAAATGGGCAGTACTTTTGAAATAGAGAGTTCTTATCTCTGTCTACAGTTTCCACAGATAATTACTCCATTGATTCACTCATACATTAAATCTTGATTTCAGCAAATATGTATACTGTTAACAATAGAAATTTGTGGCAAAGGTTAACATTGCAATGTTGACTGAAGCGTAGGTGCAACTTACGACTATAAAGGCAGCTTTTCAAAGACATCAAGGTGTCAACATTTTGTAAAAACAGTATTTATTACCACTTACTAATACCATAACATAATTAACAAAATACACATTATTTAAAATGTTATTTTGATTACCATTACATGTGTTAATGATTGGAGGTGGCCTGTAGATCTCCAACTATCGTGATGATTATTGTTATTGTATTATTGTTATATTATATATTTTGTTTCAGGATGACAATAAAATTGCACTGTCCATGAAAGTTGTAAATCAAGGAAATGGAAAGGACTTGGACCCAAATGGAGTTCAGATACAGTGAGTAACAGCATAGGGGGCCAGTTCCAGTGGCTTCAGGCATCAGTGCCTAACAGTATTATGGCATGTCCAATTCTGAGAACAGATTATTGCATGTACAGCAACAGCTTTGCAATGTATTGGGGGTAGTGCAGGCATTCCAGGTACAGTATAGGCACCAAGCTAAGCATATGGTCAGCATAAAACCATATTTAGAAAATGGCCTTACTATTTTTTGCCAGCCTGTGGTAGCCCATTTACAGAAGTCATGGAAATATGCAACTTAGCTGTACAATCTATCGCAAGGGAATGACCAATCTATACAAGGCCAGATTGGAGGTAGAGCAAATGAAGCAGTTGCTTCAGGGTCCCACACCAAATCAACATTAACCAGGAAAACTAAACTATGTATGATCTTTTATAGAGCACTGAATTGACTGTGTAAGAAAACTGAACATAAAGGAATATTTTATTCAGTGAGCAGGACTCTTTGACAACAGTTATTAAAGCAAATACAGTAAATCCTGGGTAGCTGGAATGTATGAGAAATGGAGTGTGCCATTTACATGTATCTGCCAGTTGCATGAGAAAACTATACAAACCCAATACAGTACAGTCTAGTAAACAAACCTCTGAAGTATTAAACATGCAGAGAAAGAAAGTCAGTCAAAATGAAATGAACTGTGGACTGACAGATGAAATATTTTGGGTATACTGTAATGTGAACACAGATTCAACTAGCCTCACTGTAATGGCACCTACATAAGGGAGGATGATGAACAACACTTATAGTGGGAGCTATGAGAACTACTATGTGGCTGGTAAACATATGTACAAGGCAACATTTTTTAAAGTTTCTTTATAGTTTTCGGCAGTCACATGAAATTCATGAAGCTTAGATCCTGGATAATGGAGTCTGCTGTATACAACTTTTGTGTAAACAAGGAAATGTATGAAGTTTATTTTATTGCATGTTGTAGAACTGCATCACAGATCAGTGTAAGAAAACAGATGTGTAAAATTTGTGTGGTGGTACTGGAAGTAAAGCTCATAAGACACATCCTGGATGTACTGTGGTGTTTGTAATCCATCAGTAGGATTGCATGTACAGTTCTGTTCTGCCCTTATTTGCATGAGACTTTATTAATGGTTCTCATACTTCTAGTTCTAGTGAGTTAACTATAACTTCTTATTATCTGAAGTCAGGATGAACAGAGGAGAAAAATACACATACCTGGGTCAGGAAAGAAAACAATTCAACTTGAGGCAGTCTTCAATACGACATGCTCAAAATGTGGAACACGTGGGCACTTGGCAAGAGATTGTTTTAAGGTATGGTTACAATAGCTTGATGACTATATTTGAAAAGTTACTCAGCTGATCAGAAAATTTCCAGCTGTTATAGAACCTGAAGGTTCACAAATGCATTCAGAAAACCCATCCATCAGATCCACTCCTAGTCATGGTGGACCTGAGTTGGGGGTAGGGGTGGGAAAGTTGGCAGACCTTTTTTTATCTTGTGCAATATAAAAGTGAAACATTAACTTGGCAGACCTGCCTTTTGCTAAATGCAAGTAGTTACTCCCAGGTTTGTAAGATCACTTTTCATATCAGTTTTGTTCAGTTTAATTAAATTTCATTTGTAATAAATTACATAGACTTACACTGGTCAGAGGATTTACCAGAACAAATAATTTCATATTCTGTGTTGCCTATTAAAACCACCTCTTAGGTCTAGTGGTCAGAATTTCTGGCTACAGATCCAGAGGTCTGGGTTTGATTCCTGGCGCTACCAGATTTTCTCCAGGTACATCATCATCTCCTGTAGCCTTTCCCTTCCTCATTTCCTTGATAGCTTTTTCCACCTCACTTTGTAAAAAAATGGTCCTACAGACGAGAAAGGACCATATATTTTACAAAGTGAGGTGGAAAAAGCTATCAAGGAAATGAGGAATGGAAAGGCTACAGGAGATGATGATGTACCTGGAGATGTGCTCACTGGGAGAAG